GGGTTTTTAACTGTGCAACGCAACCTCTGTGGTTAATGCTCGCATTCGAGTTTGGCGGGCTTTATTTTGTAACTCACGGGCTCGCGCGCTCTGCCCGGCGCGCTCTCGCCAACGGTCGCCGGCGTCTTTTCTAAATTCGACCTTATTGCCAGTCCGCCCATGGCCGCGAAGCGCGCTATTTTACTCTCCCAATATTTTGGTGTTTAGATATTGTTTTGACTGATATTATCCAAGTTTTATGTGTATTTCGTTGTGCCAAATTGACAATATACTTGTTGATGATTGAATTGTGCCTTGAATATTATTTCACGACCCCGGGACCAACTTAACAAGTATTACAACTGCAATTTTACGTGAACGTGGGACTCTAGGTTGGGTGTAGGTAAATGCTTAGTACTTAAGTGCCTGTTCACTTTTGTCTGAAAAAGTCTAGGCCCAGGGCTTTTCGTGACTCAAGGTAAGTTAGCAGTTATTCATACCGGTGGATGAAAACTTTAAAATCAGAAGATCCCAATGATATTATAGAACTATAGATATGTTACGTTCATAGAAATTACGATTTTAATCCGTGCCGAGCTATTCCAAATTGCACACATTGACAAATGTAACTGATAAGTGAAACAAAAGATACGAAATAGCACGCAAATGAAAGAGATAGCTATAGTTTTAACGATTCTGCACTAACTAATCTATGTCCGCATCGCACGCATCCTTATCGCACTAACGTCAAAACAAGATCGCTTTCTCTTTCTTAACTTGAACATGGCGCATGGCGTCTTGATTGTTTGCATAATTAATTGAAAATATAAATACTAAATAATTTTGCATAATCACATGTGGTAAGAGATCCCTTGTATTTTGTTTACTTTAGAGTCATAAATTGTTTGCAGATATGGATCAAGGTGAGTTTTTCCAAGTACATTACGACCTTTTTAGGGTTCCGTACCTCAAAAGGAAAAAACGGAACCCTTATAGGATCACTTTGTTGTCCGTCCGTCCGTCTGTCAAGACCCTTTTTCTCAGGAACGCGTGGAGGTATGAAGCTGAAATTTATATCAATTACTCAGGTCTACTGTCCCTTGAAGCTGTGAAAAAATCAAACTTCTAAGCCAACGCAATCAAAAGATACAGCCGTTTATGCCGCAAATTTTCGACACTTGCAAGGGAATCAAAACCTACAGGTTGCTTCCCGTGAACTCAGAATCTTGAAATTTGGTACGAAGCAACGTCTTATAGCATAGATAAAGGAAAAATTACGAAAACCATAAATTTTTAGTTACATCACATAATATATATTTTTTAAATAATTTTAAACTTACTACCCATTTCCTCATAAACGCGTAGAGGTATTAAATTGAAAGTCATACCAAATACTTAGGTCTATAATACCTTTAAGTTGTAACAAAATCAAACTTCTATGTCAACGCAATCAAAAGAAACAGCAATTTAAGCTGCATATTTTGAAACTCGCAAGTACTCGCAAGGGAATCAAAACCTAAAGGGTACTTCCAGTCGACCTAGAATCTTGAAATTTGGCATGAAGCAACGTTTTATAGCACACATGAAGGAAAAATTCCGAAAATCTTAAATTTTTAGTTACATTACAAAATATATATTTTTTAATAAATATAAACTTATGAATTTCATTTTGCAATAAAAATACCATAGTTATGACTCGATTGTCGTAATGAACGAACTTTGTAAACCTTGCAGGTTTGTACGGAACCCTCGGTGAGCGAATCCGACTCGCACTTGGCCGGTTTTTTATTATTGTTTATTGTTTTGAAGTCCTTTTGCTTAACCTTTAACTGGTGACAAGCGGTCTCACAGGCCGGGCGGCGTCAGTGAAACATCCCCGTACTTCCTGTGTTTCACCGCTTCAGTAGCTTCAAGTTTAGTTGTGTCGACGCCGTAGATTAGGATATTTGCATCATTCAGCTCTAAATCGGCAAGTTACATCGATGTAAAGTTCAGCAGCGGTCTCTCAGACCGCATGTCACCAGTTACGTGACATTTTTTTATACAGTTTTTTCATATTTTTACAGTTTTTACTTGCAATTGATACATAAATAACTCCAAAAAAGAAGCGTATGATCATTAGTTGGGAATATAGTGCCATACTTTATGAAACGACTTGAAAATGCGCCAGTTGAAAAATATCTGAAAAAGGAAGACTCTTTGTTTGCGATTATCGATCTCATCTCTAGTTTTTTGCTTTTTATTGCTACATATAATTTAACAACAAGTTCTGCATTAAAAATGATATTTAGAGCTTATTATTTTATTAAAATTTAATTATTCTATATGCTAATAATCTAATTTTAAGGTTGTGGTAGGTATGCTACCTTACCTAGTTTTTACAGCCTTGATACGGAAGCGGCCTCTCAGACCATACGTCACCAGTTACGTTACACAAAAACCACGTCACCAGTTAAAGGTTAAAATACCGATTAATTGTTTTCATTATAGGTAGATTATAGAGATGTCTTTGACTTTGTCTAGGATTCTTTTCATTTCGCGAAAATACCTAGTTTTCCGTTTTCCTGCCTATCCTTAATCATCTACTGTCATTTTGTAAGTGAGTAAGCATAATTTTTAACTTAATATTTTATAACTCTTTCCTCCAACAGTGGACCAATATTGTGTTATTTAGGTAATTGTTTTATTTACGCTTTTCCTCTTATAATCTTTAGGGAGCCATTACTTTTTGTTCCCTAAACAATGAATGTCAAGTTGATTAAACTTCATATACAGGAGCCAAAAAACGGTATATAATAACTTTTTAGACAAGTTAGTTTATTAAGAACATTTTGGTGGATTTCCGTTATATATTTTTAGGTTAGTACCTAAATTAAGGGGGTCCTGCACGGAATCCTTAAAATTGTCATATTTTTAAATCACGAGTGCTCTGCGATTAGTGACTTAAATACATCAAAGGAACTTGTGTAGGGTAGCCCAATCCTTGATCTAGGTCGCCGCCTTTTCGAAATTTTGAATAAATACGTAAATAATTGATAAACAACATTTAAAATGCAGATATATGGAAAATTTATTTCTTCGAGAACTTTGTTAATTTAACGTATGAAGCAATAATTTTTATATGGAAATGTTTAAATTAATATTTTGAAGGTCGCCCCCTTTTTCGTTTTTGGTATTAATGCATTAATATTGAGAATTTTTGATTTCCCAAAAAAAACTTTGCCGTGAAGAAATCATCAGGAGTTTTGCTTTATCGTAGCTGTCAAGTGTCAAATGTGTGTTTGTCAATCCTTTACAGAGTAGTGTAGAGCGCAGAGCATGCAAATAGTATCTCTTTTGTTATGACTTCGATTGTTACGAAAAAATATTTTACTTATTTTATAGTTAATATGGCTAGAAAACCCTTGGAACCTTTCTATGCCGTTCGTTCGTTTCAGCCGAAAGACGTCCACTGCTGGACAAAGGCCTTACCCAAGGATTTCCACAAAGACAGGTACCGCGCCGCTCGCATCTAGGTACCACCCGCGACCTTCACCAGATTGTCGGTCCACTTAGTAAGGGCCTGCCCACGCTACGTCTTCCGGCTCGTGGTCGCCGCTCAAGAACATTCCTGCGCCAGCGGCCATCAGCTGTACGAGCTATGTGCCACGCCCGCTTTGGTTCTCCTACGGATCTCCTCATTTCTCCTCAAACGATCATAGCAAATGTTGTGATAGGGATAGAGACATGCGATTTTTGGTTTTACAAAGGTAATACGATAGAAAATAACATAAAGTAATAAAAACTATGCTCGCTTCTCCGTTTCAAACTATACCTACTACACCACTTACACTTGACAAGAGTGTGAAAAAGTTAGTTTGATACTTATTCAGTAAAATATGGAATTAGATTTAAGAGTATTTTTATTTCTTATTACTTATTTATGTACAATTTAATGCTGTTGAAACATTGTTAAACAAATAAAATAAAAATAAAATAAAATAAATATATTTTATCGAATCAATATAAAACTAGATTTTTAACACTCTTGCGGGTAAGTGGTTTTTCAAAATAAACTGATTAGGTAGGATTAAATGAATAAATCGATAACATTTTTATTTAGAGTAGTAGGTACGCAGTATTAGTGTAACTGCTCATATAGTTTGGAAGAGTTTAGTAAAAAAAAGTTATTTCCAAACTACAGGGTGTTAGGTAAATGGGTATATGAGCCGACACTAGCCCATGTTAACATGGTCATATAAATGGTATGGTGAAGTCAGAAAATTGATATCTTAATTTTAATTATTTTAATTTTCATACAAATCGGATTTTATAAAAAATATTTTGTATGAAAATTAAAATGATAATATCAAATTTCTGACTTCACCATACCATTTATATGCCCATGTTAACATGGTCTAGTGTCGGCTCATATACCTACCCATTTACCCAACACCCTGTATACTCGATTAGTTTCACACCCTTGCGTTCTGGCCATGGCCATTCTATACATGATAGAATGGAAAGACGCTACGTTAACAGCCTATTTGAATTGAACGTCTAGGAAAAATACTCTTTTACGAAACTTTTTTAACGCCTTTGTTCATCAGAAGAATCAATATTAGTTAGGATTTTTATTGTGTAAGAATTTTCGCAGCAATACCAACAAAAAATCAAATCCTTCCTTTTTCCTAATTAAAGTATTATAAACTCACGTTTTGTTTAGCAAAATTAGTGAAATGCGTGTTTTTACTCTGTATTGAGTCTCTTTTGTCTCTACTCTGTAAAGTAGTTCGTGTGCGATCGTGTTAGTTCGTTGCGCCACCGCTATCTCGGCTAGCAAATCGTAATTTTTCGTCGGCGCTGCACCCCCTTAAGACAGATTTGTTTACTATTCTCTTTGAGATGTTACTCAGTTTGATTTTTTATTTACTTATCGATTTGTCAGGGGATAGGGTTTGAAAAAATAAACAAATAATAACATTCAATGATGCAATATCTCTATGATCTGTATATTTTTAATTTGATTTGTATAATCAATGGTTATATTCAAAACAACACATTTTAAGTCTTAAGGAAACTTAATTATTTAATTTGCTTATCTGTACTTATTAGTATTGTGTTACGATTCCTAAATGACTAGAAAATGACAAGATTTAGTAAAAAAACTTTAAATAACTTAAAATAAAACTAAACAACTACCAGTTTTTTAATTAATAAAAGAGACTTCCCAAATAACCATTCAAAAATAAATTAAAACTTATACAACTTTTTAAAAGTAGTACTAAAAGTTTAGTCGCAACATGAGCACTACAAATTACATGTTAAGTTATAAAAAATAATAAGTTAATTTCGATTTGTTAGGAATCGTAACACGTAACATATTTTTAAGTTAACTAGCTATTTCTCCAACCTTTACATAAATAACTACAAACATTTAACAATAATTTACAAAATTAATTTGAATGCAACGTCTTGACACCGTCGATACATTATAATGTTTAATTGTTTTTAATTGGCTAAGATTTCAATTAAACGAATATTGCGTATAATTAAACGTACCATAAAAATATTTGCTCTGATAGCTCACCATCTTACAATAATACAATTTTATTATTACTTCTGAATCTACATCGAATAACACAATTTAAAGTCCAGTCCGAGATTTTATAGATAAATAAATATCTATATTAATAAATCACTCTGTGAAAACTCACGTGGGACGCAAAACCAATCGAAGTTATGAAACTTTTTTCTATTTACCTGTGAAAATTGGCTGGAGTTTTCACAAGAAAATGTAAAGTAGTTTCGAGTCATATGTAAAAACAAACTTATGTACCATTCACGTATAAAAACAATCTTTTTATCAAATATTTCAAGAGAAAAAAAAAACGATGAAATAACAAAAGATAAAGAACTTATCAAAAGATATCCCACGTGACTTCACACGTAAAACTTAAATTAAATAATTTAAACCTCATAATAATTATCACTGTCGTCGAGAGAAGCGTCTTCGGCCGATCTTTTGCCAAGGCCAAAGTTGAAGCGGTGCATGTCTCTCTGTCGCTTGCCAAGGCCGAAATTGAACTTGCTGCTTAGTCGCTTGCCAAGGCCGAAGTTGTAGCTCCTCGCTCGCTTGCCAAGGCCGAAATTGTAGAGCGGCAGCCGTTTTCCGAGTCCAAAATCGTACATTCGCGCGCGTTTCTCTTCTGTGTCGTCGTCCACGAATCGCTTGCCGAGGCCGAAACTGTAGGGCCGGGCGCGCTTCTCTTCGTATACTGTAAAGAAGTTGACTGTGAGCAAAAAGTTTTGACTTTTTGACGGGAAAGGAAGCTTTATGTTCAGCAGTTTCGTTTTATTTTCAATTATGTATTGTATTCATGTGAAATTATGTGGAGCGTGTTTAATGTGTAGGCAAATGATATGATACAAAGCAGAGCAGAATCGCTTCAAAATCTCTGAAGAAGTCTGCATTTGTTCAGTAAAGGGTCACATCTTTCATGAAACTCAAGTAAAAACTCAAAACTCATTTATTTTTGCAAATAGGCTTTTTAAAAGCACTTTTACATGTCCCAGTATTAACCACTGGCCTATTAATTGTAATAGGCCAGTGGATATCATGCATCATTTACTGATATAATTTTTTGAATAATTAATTATTTGAATATTATTAATTGATTTACTTGACATTGGCTAAGGCTGTGTGTGTAAACAATAAAAAAGTACTTTATTTTTAACCGACTTAAAAAAATAGGAGGTTCTCGTGTAACTTAAACCTAAACGAGCTTTGAAATGACCTTACCTGGTGAGTCCTCATACTGGTCGAACAACTCGGCGAGCTGGTCTTCGGAGCCAAAGTCCTCAGCCGGCTGGTCCTCCACCGACCGCTTGCCGAGCCCGAACGAGTACAGACGAGATCTGGAAATTGGTGAGTCTTGAATCTACATTTCATAAATTTTTTAAAAGGAGTTATTTTTACATGACAGTAATTTTCTACCGGTAGCAGAAAATTCGCTGCAAGTAGTTCTGCGCATGAGTATCGTACGAGTCTATTATATTAGGATCACTTTATGACTTAAGAGACAGTAGACAGTACTTTTCTCAAGACGAGACAATAGTGACTCGCATTGTGAATAAAAAACTAAAAACACCCTTTTAGTTGCTGCACTAAAAAGCCAAAAATAAACAACAAAATATACTCTCTGTTTACTTCATTAGAGCCTTAGAGTAGGCCATGTTTATAGTCCTACATAAAATTGATAAGTTTCATGATGATACAAGAATTAGAAGTGCGTGTAATTCTGATTCATAGATTCCATTATCTACATAGTTACCTACATACAGGTCGACCTAATAAAAGCGTGTTAAAAAGTTATATCTTATCTTAGAGTCAAACTCCTCCTAACTCTACATTTTAGTGAAAATATGTTGCTAGACCATTTGGGAACAAACTTGGGATTATTTCACTTGTTTTTTTAGAAGTCTGTCCCATATTCAATGCGAAAATTGTATTTTTAAAATACCTAATATGACTCCTGTTTCACCATCTTACTTTAAGAGCGTTGTAGCAAAAAGTTGGCGTTCGAATTCTAGGTTTTTATTGCTTGACGTCGCGTAGTGAGTGCGCAAACTGCATTTATCTGTACAATTTCAACGCTGCGTCGACTAAACGATCTTAATCCGTAGTTGTATCGTACCTAAGACAGTACATCATACATAATAATAAAGAAATAATGTATAATTTACCTACTTGATTTTTTCTCAGATCAGACTTTTAGCAAAATCAAGTTACGTAATTAATGTATTTTTTACACTAGTAAATCCCGCGACAAGTTTTTAATCTTTAAATTGAGTAAAGTAATAAGTTTATGGGTTTGAAACAATTTATGTTTTATTTTATTCTTTTTACAGCATCAAAAGCTTGTTTATGAAAAATATTTACTATTTAAATTTTACTTTTGACTTTTTAGTTTTTATGATGCGGGATGGAAAAATTAAAATTTATTCTGATTTTGTGACGTTTCCGCACATAATATGAATAGGTTAAATAAATATAATGAAATGTATGAAAACGAGCGTGCCATTTTTTAAACGTTATCTATAATATCTGTGTCCATCAAAGAGCTCGTAACTAAACATCGTAAGCGCCATTCAAATTATTATCTAAAAGTTAATAATAAATATTTAGTTTTTGTAAATCTAAACAAGTCAGGAAATCAAAGAGGTAAATACTGATATCATTTAACCTTCTCGCTCGGGAAACGCGCAAATGTGCGCGCGACAATGCTACTATCCGTTGGCTCGGGGCGCGCGCATATGTGCGCGAGAACGCTACCGATTTAAAAATGCGTTTCTAGTTCTCTATTCCTTTCTTATTTATACGAAGTGATTACGAGAAAAAAGGAGACAAAGAACTGCTCCTCAATTTGACATCATAAACTTTCATTCATTCAAAAACAAATATTGAGAAATGAAGTGCTGACAGTTCAAGTCTTTCCCGCGAGTTCGGTCACGTTTGTGCTTGCATATTTGCATATTTTGTTTCGTGATTTCAAGTGCTTTTTTGCTTTGTAATAACACAAGTGGGTGTAGCGATAAGAAAGAAACAATATTTCTTTGTGTTGTCGTTATTTATTACTTCCTTTGTAGTGGTAATGGAGAAATTATGTCCTAAACATGGTGGATTGGTTCTAGCGACTTTCGTATGTTGCATGACAAATTTTATTGTTATCAAGTATTATTTAGTGCAAATATTTGTAAATAGATCTCGTAATGAATATTTTCAACAATTTTTGCATAGTTTCATTTCAAATCAATACTTTATTAGTTCAAAAACAATTGCTGAAACTTGAGAGAACTCTAAACCAAAAAGTATGGATTTGTTTCATTCAAGATAATACTAAAATTTTGTGTGAAATGAAAAAATCTGGTGATATTATAATAATTATTATTTATTTCTAAACATAGTTTTATATATTTCTCTAAGATTAGTCAAGTTTTATTCTTGTTATCACCATTTTTATAAATGCAAGTGCATGCCTTGGTCAAGCCTCAATTTTAGGTACATATTTTTGTATTATTTATCATTTGAATACTTCTGTAAAAGTTGATAAGTAACACCTTATATATTCAGGATGAAACCTACCAAGTTTCAGCAATTAGGTCTGAATGAAAAAGATAAACAAATTAGTTTTGTAACTTCCAAAATTTTTGCGACATTCCGCCATGACAGTCTCGCGAGCGAAAGGGAGTGCGATAAACGTCATCGCTCCGAGCGAAAAGGTTAAACATCAAAATTTTCTCAATACACTTTCTTCTTCAGGGTATGCTTATTCTAATGAATACATTCTATCTTCTTACTTAGAAATAAATTTGTTGTAATATTAGTTCAAAGTTGTGCCTTCGCGAGTTACCTGGAAATCGGGCTTTCGAAATTCGCTGTTTTCGTAGGCAAAAATCCAATTTGAACGAGATTTTGTCAATAGACATTCCGGGAAAACGTATGATAATTACGATGGTATAAGTCAAAAGAAGCTATAACAATAAATTATATGACTAAAATCATTTCGAAATCTGCCAAATTCTCGATTTCTGCATGAAAAATGTGACAACGCTCTTAACCGTAACTATTGTATGGAGTTTGACAGACTTTTGACGTTTGTTAATGTTAAAGTAAGATGGTGCAATCCAGCCTTATTAACTAACAAACATTAGTTGTTTTAAAAAGCGTACCTTTTCCCTAATCCAAAGTTGTAGACCGGCAGCCTCTTATACTCCGACACATAGCTATACGCCCTCTTCCCCAAACCGAAGTCGTAGTGCGGGGACCGTTTCTCGAGCGGCGCGACGTGCGTCAAGTCGTGCGCGGGCGCGTCGGGCGCGTCGTGCTCGCGCACGTCGTCCACTTGCACGCGCTCCGGCGCGCACAGCGCCGCGCCCAGCAGCAGGAAGTAGACAGGGATGGATGTGTACAGCATTCTGGGGAAGAAAGGATTGATTGAGAACACAGATCACAGAAATTAAAGAGAGATTGATAAAGGGGCGGGGCCCGTGTCGCAGCAATATGCCCAAAAACAGAACACATTGCTCGTGACAGCAATGACTAAGGTAAACGGCTACTAGTTCGTGATAGTACGTAAGTTCGTAAGTTTTTTTTCTAGCTCAAATAATAAGCAAATGGAATATAATTTATAAAAATTCTTCATTACTACAAAAACTCTATTATTTAAGCTATCTAAAAAACCAAGTACCAACATTGTGGCGCCAAAAATGAGAGCAATACGAAGCTTCAAACTCTCAGAGAGCCAAAAACATCTTTGCGGCTTGTAAAGGTTGCTCTCACCGTAAGGTTAGCGCTCCAACTTCTTAAGCTTATAAGAAGGCGAAGGAACGTCCATTTAAATAAAACTTGTAATGGTGGTTTCATGTGTTCCTTGACAATTGATTTGGCTTAGAAAAAAGTTATATGAAAACGTAGAATTCCTTTAAAATTGCGATTAATTGACTCACGAAATAGCGTACATATTATTTTTCGGGTGTCCCCTATTTCGTGACACTACCGATTCAAGGATATTATGGATAACATTTTGATGCTTGGTTTTTAAATAATTATTTATGATAATTTAAATGTAAGTTATGAAACAAATAATGCATTTATTTAAGTTTCTCATGACCTAAATTCGGTATATNCACTTACCTTACAGCAGCGACGTCATAATGTAAACAGTTTACATTGCTTGCGTAGTACAGTACTAAAGATTATTCGAACGTTGAGTACTGATACCGCAGTGGATAATAAGCACATATTTTGATTACTTTGTGTGTGTGAATTTCTAATGCGACACTGTGAATCTCTATGATTGAGAACTTGAACTTTATTGAGTCTGATGGGAATGGAGTCTGCGACAGTCATCTGGCAAGCGAAAGGTGTCATAGCATTCCTCCTGATTAGGCCCGGTTTCTACCAAAGCGGAGTGGAGCGAAGAAGTGCCAGCAGAATAATTTTACTATATAATTTGACAGCAGCGGCGGTGCAGCGTGGAGCGGAGAGGAGATATGCGGAGCGGAGAGGAGAAGTGAAAATAGTGAAGTGTGATTGGTTAATCAAAACAAATCTCCGCCCCGCCCGCGCCTTGGTGGAAACCTGGCTTTAAAAGATAAACAGAAAAGAATTGAAAAAGTTTTGAACGAAGAACTGACTGTTTTTACCCGTGCTTTCATCTGCGTAGGTTTAATACAATAATTCAGCTGAAAGTCAACTTTCTGTGCCCATCACTATTGTAACTATAAATCATTCCAACCGCGTAATAATTTCGAGCCCGTACTTATCCAATTCAGGAACCTCTAACATTATAAGAGGTTTAAAACAATAAAGAATGGCCATAAACTATTATCCATAGCGAAATATCGAACAGGACCGTTATCCGATAATATTTCCTCACAAAACGGCGGAAGTAAGCGGATTGGGCTGTCCTAAAAAAACAGTAAAATGCACGAAATACACGGAAAAAGGCGATTTGGTCATAAAGGCGGCTTACACTTTATACGCTGAATGATGTCGCGTTTACACGTCGCTTGAGTGTGGAGGTTTTACCAAATAGGTTATTATACTTGGCAGGTATTTACCACGTACCTACTTACTTAGGTATATGACGGCTCACCAAAACAGGTTGTCTGGAAGTCTTTAAATAGACTTCGGACGCTGGTTGGCCGCAGTAAGGACAATCTGTTCAAATGGGGATTCTTGGATGGCTCAAACTTGGAGTGCAAGTGTTGTTTTGTTCCCCAGTCGACGAAGAACATGATGTCGTGCCCTGCGTGTCCAAACAACTGCACGCAGGAAGACTTTAATGAAGGCTACTGACATCGCCACTCTTGTAGCGGACTTTTGGGCTGACACTAGGTTTGATGCGGACATAACAACAAGAAGAAAACAGTTGTTATTTTTAATGTGAAAAAACTTCAATTCTAGATTTTCTCTCTAGATGTCAGCCATGACAGCAAAAGGCGCGAGTCGCTGACCGTCGCCCTCGCCTACCACTATCGCAAGCAGTAGCCGACATACGAGGGGTGTTCAGAAAGTAAACAATGGGATATTTCTAGCCATCACAAAAATCTGAAAAAAATTGGGCAGGTAGCTTAGTAAAATTCTTCACTAGAAACTGGTAAAAAAATAATTTAAGTTCACCATTGTGTTTATGAATTACATTCATCTGACCACGACTAGTCGGATGATTTTCTTGACTCTCCAAAAAGGCTTAAAAAGGACACTGCCTCGACAATTCCTCAAATATCAAGTCCCTGAAGTACTTTTTAAATCGAAAAAAAGAGCTAATAACGTAGCTGAGACTCAGATGTAGAGAATATGATGGGTTTTGGTTTGATGAACTTAAATAAATTCACCTGTTCAATGTTTTTTCAGATTTTTGTGATGGCTAGAAATATCCCATTCTCATTACTTTTTGAACACCCCTCGTAAGTAATGTCGCTCGTCTACGAGCTCTCTTAGCTATTGTTGTGACCTATAAAGGCAAATAACAAAGGCATTTTTCTATAATAGTCATTTCGTAACATAAACTAAGTACAAAAAAGCCTCTACGTCGGATGAAAATAAGCAAATATCTTTACTATTTCGAGGACTTTTACTAAGAATGTAATAAGCCAGGATTAGGCTAGGCATATCCTTTGATAAAAAACCCTTTTCTAAATATTCAAGAAAGTGATGTCTTTACAGTCGGTTACGTTAGGTAAGGTTTACCTAGAAGTGTACCTTTCTGTTAGGTATTACCAGTACTTATTATTATTCTGTGGTATTACGTAGTTTTATTCGCAATGAGCATTTTTAGGGTTCCGTATTTGGCTAGTTCAGTGATTCGTCCCACAACACGTTCGTCCCACTGGGACAAAACACTGAATTAAAAAAAAAATGTTTCGTTCTGGATTCGTCCCATTTAATTTATTCTTTAACATAATGAGATTTAGTACCGTCAGAAAGACAATGAAATAAAAGAAAACATGAATTTGTTAACATTATCTGTTATTTAAAAGAAAATCAACACGTGAATATACTCAGATCAGCAAAAAATTTTGATAAATAAAATTTAAAATCATTGATAATAATAATACATATTGATTTAGTGATTAGATTTTCTATGTTGATTTCCTTTTAAATACAGACATTGCTAACATTCATATTTTCTCTTATTTCATTGACTTTCTGAAGGTACTAAAACTCATTATGTTAAAGAATAAATTAAATGGGACGAACCCAGAACGAAAAATATTTTTTTTTAATTCAGTGTTTCGTCCCAGTGGAACGAACCTGTTTTGGGACGAATCACTGAACTAGCCCCGTATTTTTTTAGGAAAAATGTTCCAACATCTACTTAAAGTTTACCCGATTCGGTATTCATAAATCGAATATTATGGATATAAAATTTATTCAGGCCCTTTTCAAGTATTAAGTTGTTCTTATTTTGATATGCTTATTTACTTACTTTTCTAGATTCATACTCAGCAAGAATTCGATAGAATATTTGAGTACCCTCACCTATAATCTTTTAGCTTAACTTTAAGCTTAAATCCTATCTATTTTATCCTATTCGATTTAACCTAAGCCGCCGAAAGATGATGTCACTACATAGTATATAAAACAAAGTCGCTTTCCGCTGTCTGTCCCTATGTATGCTTAGATCTTTATAACTACGCAACGGATTTGATGCGGTTTTTTTTAAATACATAGAGTGATTTAAGATGAAGGTTTATGTACTTAGCACCCGTGCGAAGCAGGGGCGGGTCGCTAGTTTGATATAAATCACAACTTGTTATTTACTTATTCTCATTCCGAATGTATTGTAATTAGATCAGCTGACAAGACGTAAAGCAGACGAGTTTTATATGTCTTGTTTTCTTGCTTTTATCAACATTCACTAGATGGGTTTCATTGAGGAATTGCAGTTGTGGGAAAAAGAGCTGGGATCTAGGACTAGCTCCGTTTATCAAAGTTATTTTTAATTATAGCTTTTTGAACGGATCCGTCTGCGTTGTTAATCACATAGAATTTTATTATTATTAAAGTACCAAAAGGAAATATTTTTTGTTAAACAATACGGCATAAAATGTATTCTAGTTTCCAGAGAAACTTTAAATTTAACCCCCATGTGCCAATACTGAAACAGTTCAATCTTTGTTTCTGTCGATTTTGTATACATAATGTCAACAACCCCCGAACTTTGGTAATAAACAAATTTTATGGTTTTGATATCCATCATTTAATTAGAGACCGAGGCCTAGAGAAATGGCTATTTTTAAAAATTACTTTCTTTAATATGGTATTATCAAAGATACCATCTTAATCATTGTTTGTACAAGCAGATTTATGTGTAGATTAGATTTATTTCAGGATTTTAGTGTTTTACGAGTATTAGAGTAGGCGCACACCGTTGATTTTTGCATGTATGGGAGTGCGCACACTACGCCGATTCGATTTGGCCGATTCTTCATACAATTTAAAATCGGGCACAACTATCGGCCAACTAAAAATCAACGGAGTGCGCCTACTCTTAGCCCTTATTTGATACTACTTATACTTATTTAGTCACGTCATAAATATAGGTAAACCTACATCGTGAGAATAATATTCTCAGAAGATGTTAATGTTAAATATTAATTTGCACGTCTTGTAGCTATGGTTTGTACGAGTAGGTTAACTTACATGGACCGAATAACGCCTACACTCGTGGGTTTGAAGGTTTGAAGTTTTTTCTCTTAAACGATAACATACATTTACCCAAGTAGGTATCTTAAATCAGTTATTGAGCCTATACATGCATTTGTGTCTAGTGGTAGGAGACTAATGCCCCTTTTCACCATCAATCCCTAATATTTAAGGACCCTTATGAAAACAAAATTCCTGTTATATGTTACCACAGCAGTCGTTTCAAAATTAGGGACTGATGGTAAAAACGGGAATTAGACCCTCAACTCGAAGAGTTTAGGTGTTCGATA